TAGCGAGGAACGAGTATGCCTAGAGGGTAGGACAAACTGTCGGGCAGAGCAATTCTTTTGACTGCCCCGGTCGCACAATTCCCGTGCTTCCCTAATTCGACACCCTGAACACGCTAATTCTGACTGTCCGAATGTCCCTGCCAGGCCAATTCGACACCCTGTCAGCCTAATTCTGACTGTCGGAATGTCCCGCCAGGCTAATTCGGCACCCGGACAGGCCAATTCTGACTGTCGGAATGTCCCTGCCAGGCCAATTCATATCCCTGTCAGGCCAATTCAAGGGCCTGTCCCGGCAATTCAACTTGTCCCAGGTGTCAATTTAAACCCTTCTACCGAGCAATCTAGACCAATTGCAGGGTCTGCCCCCAAACTCTCAGGCACGCATTCAGAATCGCGGGAGTTGAAGGAACTTTACAAAACAAGGGGAGCACTTACAAATATCTCTCGTGTGTTTGTTGGTTTCAAATCCGTACATGCTTGTACTCCGTACTGCCGTACTCCGTACTCATTCACCCATACATTCATTGTGTGTGTATGTGTGAAAAGTTACCATCACCCGAACCGACCAGAACCAAAGGTGTGTCTGCATGGCAAGTCGCTCACAATTTTAACACCCGGTCTATTCATTCATTCCTTCGTTCAGACAAGCAGACATATCCACACGCCTCGTCTTGAACTGTGCTTCAGTCCTGCTAAGGGCCCCCGGCACTCGACCAGACTACATGTGTTCAAAAAGATACCACCACCCGAACCGAACCAAACCAGGGGCATGTTAACCACACCTTTCATTCGTCCATTCATTCATACATCCAATCATTCACGCAGACAAAGAAATGTAAGCACACGCGCCTGCCCTGCAGTAGTGTGGCCCGGCACAATGTAGCTGTAGTAGCTGGTACACAGTAAGCACAGTAAGCTGGTACACGCATAGCACGACCACCAGCATCTCGAGAGGCCTTTTCAGCGGCCAGCTACTAAATAATGCATGAACGTCACATAGAGGAAGGTAGCATAATACGAGCCGTCAACGATAGGACCATCACCGCCAACCGGACTGTGTGAACCTGTCTCCAGTGCGTCACGCAGCACACCGACTGCCTTGACGCTTCCAGTTGAGGGATCCATGTCGAGGTCGGCCAACCTGTCTGTCAGTGAATGGCGGTAAGTCAGCCACAAACCAGTCTGTACCTAATTCCAGGTTGGATAGAGCCTACTTGAGAGTGGCGCGCTGGTTCTGTTTGTCCTTGTAGTTGAGATCCTGGGACGAGATGTTGACATGGGGCATGCGCTTGCTCAGCGCGCGCAGTGCAGGGAAGCTGATGAGGTTTGGCCCGATCATCATCATCTTCCGGGGGTTGATGAGCTGGCGCCTGCAGCACGTGTTACAGTGTCGACATTGCTGATCCTATTTGGTACCAGTCATTCGCCCGTGAACGCATGGCCATGCTCCTGGCTTTTAATGTACCCTACTGCAGGCCCGCGTACCTTAGGCGCCAGCCAATGTGCATTTGGTCAATAGTCAGCACGACGGGTTGGAGCACGGACACCCACGTCACTGCAAGGGGCAATGTAAAAAGCTACCTCCTCCGGCTGGCGTTGTTGTCCTTGA